CTAATTGTCCACCTTAAAATACAAACTAAATCCAAAGCATGCAAAAGGAAGGAAACAATGAAAGAATAAAAAAACAATAAAGAAAGCCAACGAGACTAAAAGTTGGTTCTCTGAAGAGATCAACAAAATCGACAAACCTTAGCTAAACTAACCAAGCAAAAAAGAGAGAAGATTCACATTACCAAAACTAGGAATGAAAAAAGAGACATTAATATTGATCTTACAGATATAAAAAGGATTATAAGGGAATACTACTAACAACAGTAGGCCAACTAATTAGATAGCTTAGATGAGATGGATATATTCCTAGAAAGACGCAAGCTACCGAAACTGACTCAGGAAGAAATAGAAAATCTGAGTAGATCTATAACAAGAGATTGGATTAGTAATTTAGAAACTACCCCCAAAGAAAAGCCCAGGCCCAGATGACTTCACTGCTGAATTCTACCAAACATTTAAAGAAGAATTAGTGGAAATTCTTCACAACACTTCCAAAAAATACAAAAGGGGGGAACACTTCCAAATTCATTCTATGAGGCCAGTATTATCTTGATACCAAAACCAGACAAAGACATCACAAGAAAAGAAAAATACAAACCAATATATCTTATGAATAAAGATGTAAAAATCATCAACAAAATACAGCAAACTGAATCTTGCAATATATAAAAAGAACTAAACACCATAACCAAGTGAGATTTATATCAGGAATGCAAGGTTGATTTAACATCCAAAAATCAATTAATATAATACACCATAGCAACAGAATAAAGGACAGAAAGCACATGATCATCTCAATAAATGCAGAAAAAGCATGTGACAAAATTCAACAGCTGTTCATGATAAAAATACACAACCGCCTAGGAATAGAAAGAAACTTCCTCAACCCTATAAAGGGCATCTATGAAAAACAGTCACATCACATTTAATGATGAAAGATAATGCTTTCCTGCTAAAAACAGCAACAAGACAAGGATGACTACTCTTGTCACTTCTATTCAACATTGTACTGGAGGTCTAGCCAGGGAAATTAGGTAAGAAAATTAAATAGAAGGCATCCAGATTGGAAAGGAAGAAGTAAAACTATCTCTACTTGTAGATCACATCATCCTGTGTATAAAAAATCCTAAGCAATCCACTAACAAGTATCAGAATTGATAAACACATTCATCAAGGTTGCAGGATACAAGATAAATATACAAAATCTATTGTACTTCTATACAGCAGCAATGAACAAACCAAAAATAAAATTAAGAAAACAATTCCATTCACATTAGCATCAAAAAGAATACTTAAGAATAAATTTAATAAAAGAAGTGGAAAACTTACACTCTGAAAATTATCTATTTCTTGGAGGACTTGAACTGACTCACTCTGTTTTAAGCACTTAAATGCTAATTCGTTTAATCTTCATAACAACTCTACGAGATAGGACAATCATTACCCCTTTTCACAAACACAGAAACCAAGATACTAAGAGGTTACGCAACTTGCCAAAGATCACAGAGCACTTAAGTGGTAAAGGCAGGATTTGAACCCAGTCTAGCTCCAGAGTCCATCCACTTAATCACTACACTAAGCTGCCTTTACCTTTCATGGAGTGGCACTAATTTCAGAACACACTTATGATGCATGGTAGAATGTATTTTGGTTCATACAGAGAAGCTAAATAAAATTCAGTGGTCAAAGAGTACACATGGTCTGGTCTGCATACAAGCTATAATTGAGAATAAGGTAGCATTCGGAGCATAAGAAAAATGATAATATCAATAATACACTAAATACTACCAAAGATGAAGAGTACCATTCTTTAATATTTATATTATTTATTATTATTTTGATATTATTTAATTTATAACATTGCATTAATCTTAATGGTTAATAATTATTAATATAATAAATTATTAACACCATGATATGATATAGATATTATATTTCTTGATATTTATACTTTTAGGCATATATTTCAGAGACTACATTAGAATTCCTTTAAGTTGAGAGGCCGGCCCGGTGGCACAGTGGTTAAGTGCACGCACTCCACTGCGGCAGCCCGGGGTTCACTGGTTTGGATCCTGAGTGTGCACTGACGCCATGCTGTGGTGGCGTCCCATATAAAGTGGAGGAAGATGGGCATGGATGTTAGCCCAGGGCCAGTCTTCCTCTGCCGAAAAAAGAAAGAGGAGGATTGGCAGATGTTAGCACAGGGCTGATCTCCTCACAAAAAAAAAAAGAATTCTTTTAAGTCGATATATATGTATTGTGGAAAAAACTGATTAGTAATTGACATATGAGCTCATTTGTGTGTGCGTTTTTTAAAGAATAGTTTATGTGCATAGAAATGTTCTAGAAGCATACAAAAGAAAATGTAATAGCAGTTGCCTAAGGGGTGCAAATTCTGGCAGGAGATGGGCAAAGATTTTAGAGGAAATTTCTTCTCACTTGACAACCTTCTGCACTTTGCACATTTTAGTCACAAGCCTGCATTTCTTTTGTAATATAAAAAATTCCTTTAAAGTGAAATTTTAATAACAAATTATCATGAATGATTTACAGTTTAAAAAGAATATTCATGAACATAAACTCATTTTATCCTTTCACCAACCCTATGAGGTATAAATGTCAAATATTATCTCCATATTACATATAAGAATATATTTACACCCTTTTTACCAATGCAGCCTATACATTATAATAAAAGCCTGGCAGATCTATAATCACGATTTTCCTCATTCATTCAACAAATATGTATTCAGCATTTACTATGCGCCAGGTTCTAACAGTGGCTTGGCACTAAACCTTGAAGATTATAGTGGTGAACAAAACAGAGAAGTTTTCCACTGCTATGAAACTTACATTCTTATTGGATGAGGAAAGAAATCAGATAATAAACAAACAAACACCTCAGTTTAATATTATGCAGAGAATTAGAGTGGACTAATAGGATGGATAATATGACTGGGAGGCTCCTTAGATGGGGTGGTGAGGGATGGTAACATTTAAGTTGAGATCAATGACAGGAAGGAGTGAGGTGAGGGCCACTGGAGAAGCAATCTAGGAACAGCTGATGCCAGTTCTCAGTGTGAGAGTGAGTCTGACAGTGTAGCAGGTAGGGAAGGGAGAGCGAGCACCACATAAGGTAGCAGTTAGGCAGGTGTCGGATCTTCCTAAGCCATAGTAAGGAGCTTAAGGAGTTTGAAATTAATTTTAAGTGCAGTGGGAAGCACTTGGAGGGTTTTAAGGAGAAATGGCTGGATCTTATTTGGAGAAGCAAGAGAGGACACAGGAAGATCAGTTAGGAATCTATAATTGTAGTCAAGGCAAGAGATGATAGAAGCTTGGACGAAGGTGTTGGCTGTGGAGATGGAAATTAGGGGTCAGATTCAGGATATGTTTTGGAGGTAGAGTTTATGGGACTTTGCTGATGGAGTACGTGAGGAGGGGGTGAAGAGAGAGAGGGCAATAAAGAATTCAAATGTAAATTTTTATAGACCTTGGGGCTTTTTCCTGAGACGGCAGACTAGCAGAGGGGAATCAGGAGTTTTATTTTTGGGCCCTGTTATGTTTGAGCTGCCTATTAGATATCCAGGAGATGTCCAGCAAAGAGCTGAAGTTCCCAGAAGGGTGAGGGCTGGAACGACAGGCACGTTGATGGCTTTTAAAGCCAGGATTGAGGTTATCTGGAAGAGTGTCTGGATATAGAGAAGGAGGGGTCAGTACAGCATCCTGGGCAAGCCAATGTCTGCAAGTCAAGTAGAGGAGGACCACCAAGAAGTTTCAGAAGGAGCAGTGAGTGAGGAAGAAGAAAAAACAAGCGAGTGAGGCCGCAGGAGTCAGGACAATAAAGTGTTCCAAGGAGGGTGTGGGGACTGTGGAAGGCTGCTGGCATCATGTAAGATGAGAAAAAACCCCCGGCTTTGTTAACACGTGGTCACTTGGGCTCTAGAAAGGGTCCTCTGTGGGGATGAGGAAGTCGGCTGACTGGAGGGACTCTAGGACAGCATGTGAGGACAGCAGATGTAATTCTTTTCTTTTCTTTTTTTTTGCAGAGGAAGATTCCCCCTGAGCTAACATCTGAGCCAATCTTCCTCTATTTTGCATGTGGTACACCACCACAGCATGGCTGATGAGTGGTGTAGGTCCGCTCCTGGGATCCGAAGACGAGAACCTGGGGCCACTCAAGTGGAACCCCCCCAACTTAACCACTATGCCACCAGGTCAGCCCCAGGTGTAACTATTTTCATTTGACTGATTAATTCTTTCTAAGAGTGCACATTTTGATTTCATTTGTATTTACAAAAGCTTGAGAAAGATCTCAAATCTTGGTTAGGATCCTCTGTCTTTTTCCATTTTGAATTTCCAATCTAGCGTCTCTGTGGCTACTATTTTTTTTTAAATAAAAAATCCCCATCTTGAGGGATGACATCCACCCTGAAGTGCACTAATGTAATGTGCACAGCTCGGTGGCTTTTTACACGCGTGTACACTGACACCACCATTGAGACAAGATGGCATGAAGCGTGCCCCGTGGGTCCCTGCGCACCTTCCCAGTCTGCCACCCCCCAGAAGTAACCCGCGTCTTGACTCATGTAAACCTCCACTAGCTTTACCACGAGGATCTTCGAAGGAAACAAATGAAAACTTGAAGGGCATTTGATTGGAACTTACCCATCGGCTCCAGTAAGTCCACGTGCCAGCCTTTGGCGCCCAGATCACGCGCAGACCTTGCAGGTACTCTCCGAAGCCCCGCCCCCGGCCCGCGGCCCCGCCCCCCGGCCCGCAACCTCGCCCCGCTCGCTCCTTTCCTCCCGGGCTGCGCAGCGCATGGCGGCCTGCGGGGACCGCCTTCCTGTCATGCGCATTAGGGGTAGGCGCGCCTCCCTCCTAACTTTTCAACCCACCTCCAGCACCCGGCCTCGCGCGACTGCGCAGGGAGAATCCTCAAGGCGCGCGCGCCGGGCCGCGGGATTCTGCGCATGAGCAGACGGGCCGCGAGGGCGGAAGTGCGGAGAGGCGGGAGGAGCGGTGGCAACATGGCGCTCTCCGGGAGTGTGCGGGCTCCGGTGGCCGTGCTGCTGCTGCTGCTCTGCTTGGCGCCCGCGACCGCCGGCCGGCGGAGCGACGTGCGCGTGGTCACGGACGAGAACTGGAGAGAGCTGCTGGAAGGAGAGTGGATGATCGAGTTGTGAGTCCGGGGCCCGCGGGCGGGCGGGCGGCGGGCGGGGTCCCGCTCCACGTCCATCCCGGTCCGCGCCCGACCTCGCTCCGGCCTCACCCCGGCCCTCATAGACCCCGGCGTCGGCCGCCTGGGTCCCCCGCCGGGTGTGGCGGGCGCGCCGAGTCCCCCGTGGGCTCGCGGTTCCCTCGGCGGTCCGCGCGGGGTGTTCCGAGGGACCTCAGACCCGCCGCTAGACGGCCGCCAGACTGACCCTCCTGTTCTCTGTCTCCTTCTGTAAAGTCCGTCTGCGGTGTGGGGATGTCGACTCCGGAGCCGTGCATTTTTGCTTTCTTTTTGTTTCTGTTGTCAATGCCGAGAGAATTCGGTTTGGGCTATTTGTAAACCTTCGTTGCCTTTATCGTTTTCTTGTTTGCTCTTCTCTGCCCCACCTCTCCCCTTTCCTTGGAGTGAGTGTTCTGGCAGTGTGCTGGGTGTCCCGGTTTGCTCTTGGGCCTCTGGTGGGACGGCGTTTCGAGGTCCGGTTCTCGTTGAGTGTGGTGTCGGCTCCCCGGCGCCCGGCGGCCGTCGGTACTGCTCAGGAGTTACGTGCCCGGTGATAGTGTCCCTGCGGCAGCGGTAGGGCCGACCGTGTGCCTCTGCTTCAGGCGCTGCGGTGGTGCGGTGCGGTGTTGAAGCTGGTGGTGCTAGCGAGGCTCGTCAAGAAACCGTTATTGAGTGTTCGCTGTGTACCAGACGCCGCTAAGCGCTTGACATACCTTATCGTGTTTAATTCTCAGCAAATTCTGTAAGACAGGTATGAGAGACGGACCTAAGGGCTTAAGTCATCTGTCCTGGTAGAGCTATACCGGCTTCCTTTCGTCTCCCGACCCTCACACAGTGTAGGCATGCGATAATTGTTGTTAGGACTCTCCCTCCCCTTCTTTAACAAGGTTCAAGTCCTGTTTTCCTGTACGGTTGGGGCTTGGGTTGCCAGTTAAGGAGGGAGGTGGACATCCGCAGGGGAGAACCCAGAAGGCCGGATCAGTAGCTCTTGAGTTGTAAAATCAAAAAAAGCGTCGGACGTTTATTTGGAGGACAGGATAGAGGAAAATGTTTGTACAGTGTGCATATACTCTGTACTGAGTAAGTGAATTTTCAGTCATCATTGAAGCTGCAGGGGAGAGGGAATATAACCAGTGACAGCATTTGGTTTTCGTTGTCATGAGTAACTTGCTTTAGATTGTGCCCACAAAATATTCAGTTTCATAAATAATGTGTCAAGCAATAGTGATTATAATTTATATGCAAAATACAGTCAAGTATTACTCAAGGAGATTTTTTTTCACTCATTTGATCAAACTGTGTAAATACAGCAGTCAAAAGTGAAGTATTAGGGGTTTAAATTAGAGCATCTGTGTGAAATTGAGTAAACCATAGAATTTTTTCTTTTTTTCCCTTATAGCCTACTGGTTTTGAGGTTAAGTCTTTAAAAAGCACCTAAGAAACAAAAGGAACCTGAAAAAGGGATCTAGTAGTCTAGTGACAGTCTGCTCTTATTACAAGTCAGTTCTCTACATTAAACTTATCCTGATCAGAAGTTGTGTTATAGGGATGTTTTCATTTAATGCAATTCATTGTTGTGGGCTTTGGCTTTTATGTATGGTTCTAGTCTTGTTCCACAATGCCTATTACTTTGAGGAGTGTTATTTTCATGAATGAGTCAAGAAAAAATAATGAAGTACAGAAACTGTACTTTTGCGTTTAGATGTAGGCTTTATTCTTCCTGGTTCCATTAAAAAAACGGAGGCAGGGCCGGCCCCATGGCTTAGCGGTTAAGTGCGCGTGCTCCGCTACTGGCGTCCCGGGTTCGGATCCCGGGCGCGCACTGACGCACCGCTTCTCTGGCCATGCTGAGGCCGCGTCCCACATACAGCAACTAGAAGGATGTGCAGCTATGACATACAACTATCTACTGGGGCTTTGGGGGGAAAAAAAGGAGGAGGATTGGCAATAGATGTTAGCTCAGAGCCGGTCTTCCTCAGCAAAAAGAGGAGGATTAGCACGGATGTTAGCTCAGGGCTGATCTTCCTCACAAAAAAAAAAAAAGAGGAGGCAAATTGTAAGATAGCACACAGTAAAGTGGAAAAATCAAATCCTAGGGAAAAATCGGGGACTTGAAAGATGCTGAACACCAGAGGAGTACTTAGGATGCTAATATGCTTGGCCGTGGGTTTGTAAACCCGAGGTCTTGGAAGCAGGCTGACCAAGGGCTGGCCAGAAGAATTTCGTTTGGCCTGCCTCATGTTTGTGTCTGTGGGTTAAGTTTTGAGGTAACATTTTTACATAAAAATGCAGGTTTTCAGCTTCTTTTAAGTAAGAATAGCGGCTGTACTGGGCAGGCAGTCCCCTGTGGCAATTGAGCTGAGTGGTGGTTCCCTGCTTAAGATGGCACACTGTTTCCTTGCTCACCATAGCCTGGCACTTCCTGGTTTTTCCTTACTGGCACCTTGCATTTGTGACTAAAATTATTAGAACTGGTGAACTCTAGATTTGGCATTTAGCTTTCTGGTGGCCACATTTTAAGTAGTTTTTAAAGAGCAGTTTTGCATGTGAAAAAGCCCTTGTGTCTTAAGAACTTATTCTCAGGATTGCTTTTACCTGATCGTCATTGATTTCCAGAGTGTTAGACCCACATTTAAAACTTTTTCATCTTTACAAAATTAACCACTTTGCTATTTTGTTTTCAGTATAAAATATTCTTCACAAATTACGCATTTTAGAATTTTTATCCCGGTATGGTCATTGGATGCTTAACTTTTTTAAAACTATGTTTTTTAGTTATGCTCCATGGTGTCCTGCTTGTCAGAATCTTCAACCAGAATGGGAAAGTTTTGCTGAATGGGGAGAAGATCTTGAGGTTAATGTTGCAAAAGTAGATGTCACGGAGCAGCCAGGTACTGTAAGTCTGTGGTTAGCTTTGTGTCTTTGCAGATTGGGTTCATATGTTTATCCTGTTTTCCATGGTACATGGTCTTAACTTCACCTTTTCATTAGATTTTGAAAACATAGCTGTCTGCAGCTGGTTAAGCCGAGTCACTGACCTCCCTGATGGGGGCTCAGTGTGCAGCGGCTGCAAAAAGCAGATTCCTGGTTGTGTGTACAGCTCATTACTTTTCTGTGTTGCTCTAAGGCGCCTTGCAGACGTTGCCTCCCCCCATTCTTCCCCACATAACTGCCGCTGATCTTTTTCCCTTTGCATTGTGGTCTCCAGACTCAAGTGTAAGATGCCTTTGAGAAGTCCTAGAACAGGTGGACCAGGCAGACATTGACCAGGCCATCAGTTGCATCCATCCCAGGCTTCAGAATAAGGAGCATGTGGCTGAGGTTCTTTGTACAGTCAAGGACACGTTCCCTGACAAGTGATCCGAATCTCTGTAATTACGTTCCAAATTTAATACCTGTGATTTGAGGACATGGGCTCTTAATCACAAAGCTCTCATGGTTGTGGGGTCAAGTGCACTCCTGACTTGGCCCCCTGGACAAGTGGCAGGCCCTGCCCTTAAGGATGCTTCTGTCTTAGACCAGCCTCGTCTTACCTGTTGGTTGTAATAAACCCGGGTTCATGACTCTGCCCCCATCCCAGATGTTAATAATAGCTAATATTTATTGAGCACGTATCTATTACAGGTCTTGCTTATTGTGTAATCCTTACACAACCTTGTGAGATGGGTAGTGCCCCCATTTTACAGATAAGAAAACTGAGGGATGGAGAGATTAGTCCTCAGTTATATTAGTGCTTAACACGTGGTTAATAATAGTTTTAGCTGCTATTGTTAATTGTCCATCTTATGAAAGATGCATAATATTTTCCATTTTTAACAACACCTTAAACTCTGCCTCTGTTTTTTAAATGTCAAATGCAATTTCATTTGATGTTAGACCTTTCTAAGACTGCTGTTATATGTGCTGTTCCGTGGCTCATCACTTGTCTTATCACACAGTGGTGTAATCCATCAAGTGTGTATGTATATATATACGCACACACCCACACATATATAAAATATATTCACAGATATCTTTAATAGTCAAGCTTTACATAACTTTTATTTAGATAATGTGCAGTCATTTTTTTTAAAGTTGCTTTAAGTACATAATTGGGACTTTTTTCATTGTTTGTTACAAAGCTCAACTATTTCTAGATATGATTTCATATTTTTTCCCTGTTAGTATTAAATAATTGAGAATTAACTTTTAAGTAGTGAGTGCTTGCCCCATATCAAACCTACTGTGTGTTTTTTCTTGTCTTACCTTCACATCTTTGTCTTTTGTAGGACTGAGTGGGCGATTTATCATAACTGCTCTTCCCACCATTTATCAGTAAGTGTTTGAAGATTCTGTAGTTCATGCAGAAGGCGACGTCATAGTGCAGTCAGCATAGCAGGCCTCCGGCCTGGATCGTGTCTAAAGAGCATTATATTCAGTAAGTGTATTAGAAGGCTTATTTTGCTCTTAGTATCTTTAGAGAGATGAGTGATGTGTGATACAGTTCCTGATCTCAGAGGTTTATAATTGTTGTGAACAATGATGTTCACATGAAGTGGTGTGATACTGTTCAGCGTAGTGGGTGATTATGAGCCCAGAGTTGTGGTAGGTCCTGCAGGAAGTTTGGTAAGGGAACATTCACTGGGCTGGAGTGGTTCCTGGAGAATATGAGGTTTAAACCCAACCTTAGAGGTAGAATTTTCAGAAGGGTGCAAAGTAAGCATGTCATCCTGTGGACATTCTCATAAGCAGGCATAAATAGGGACATGATATGTTCAAAAATCTAAGAAAGTGCTATAGCTTTACCCTGGGGACAGTAGAAGGTGAAGTGGCTGAGCGTTATATCAGAATGGACAAGACTATGTAGTCTTCAGTGTCAGGTTTTTTTTTTTTTTTTTTTTTTTTTTTTTTTTTTCCTGAGGAAGATTTGCCCTGAGCTCACACCTGGGCCAGTCTTCCTCTATTTTGTATGTAGGTCGCCACCACAGCACGGCCGCTGACAAGTGGTGTAGGTCCACACCCAGGAACAGAACCCGTGGACCTGGGCCGTCAAAGTGGAGTGTGCTGAACTTAACCACTAGGCTGTGGGGGGCGGGGGCCGGGGATGGGGGTGGGGGAGGGGCATCCCTAGTGTCAGGTTTTTTAATTGGATTTTATCTTCTAGTGGGGCTAGGAAATCTCCAGTCCCTGCACCTGCCCTGAACCCTAATGTTCATCTGGCTGGTGGGTGGAATGCCAGGAGGTACTTCTCTCCTCCTTTGAAGTTAGCAAAACAGGGAGCTGGTAGTTCTGTGTGGTCTGTCTCCTCCCCCCTGTTTGTGTGCCTTTTGTTCGCCCCTCCTCCCTGTGTGTCTGTTTCTGGTCTGGTCTGTCTCCAGGGTGCCTCCCACCCTCACTCTGTCCTTCCCCACCTGCCCCTCAACTGGTGTCATCAGTCTCCCCCCTTCCTTTTACCTTCTCAGCACCTCCTGAACTTAACCTGGACTATCCTGCCCTTTTCCTTTTAGTCACATTGTTTATCACGCCCATCCCCTAATTTCCGCCTGTTGAAATCCTACCTATCCTTCAAAAACAGCTCAAATGCCATTTTCTCCACAAAACTTTATTTTTTTTGAGTGGAGCCTTCCTTGTGGTCTTTGGCTCTGGGTAGATAGAGGATCCTTCAGCCCGGCTATAGGTAGGAGGGAGCTATTGAAAGTTTTTGCACGTAAGTGATAAAAATGCAAGTGTTAATGAAGTAGGATTAGACTGGCAGTATTACTGAAGGTAGTTGGGAAATGGTGAAGGTGTGGGAGCAGGGAGAGCACTTATGACCCTGGGACAGAACTCCATGCGTTGGGAATGGGAAGGAGGAGGTTGACGTCAGGAAGAACGCAGAGCAGGCTTAAAAGAGTCACTGAAACTGGCAGAAGGGAAGCACTGCACCAGATACCTCCCTTGATTTAAAGCGTGGTGGCTGAGAGGAGGCAGTCGTGACCGAAGACACCAGAAAAATGCCTTCAGTTCTAACCCAGAGTTTAACAATAGCTAATAATAAGTGCCAGACACAATTCTCCAGTCTTTCTTGTAGTCTTCCCTTTCACGTGTATGTTACACATAAGGCTTAAAGTGATTTGCTGAGATATACTTACTGTGTTTTCCCCCCAGTTTTATTGAGATATAATTGACATATAATTAACTACTTACTGTGTTTCATAGTTTTATTATTTGGAAGAGTGACAGTCTTAAGGCTTATGATTGTTTAAAAATATAACCTCATTGTTTAGTTAAATTTGGGGCTAAGGTGTCATGAATAGGTAATTAGCATAATTTGCTATTGTGCATTGCTAATGATTTGAATGTTAGGATTGATTGTAAAATGAGCTTGAAGTATTAGCAAAACATACAAAGTTTATTTGGTGCTGATTAATATTGAATTCTGATCCTCTTGAGTTGTAAAGATGGTGAATTTAGGCGCTATCAGGGCCCGAGGACTAAGAAGGACTTCATAAACTTCATAAGTGAAAAAGAGTGGAAGAATATTGGACCCATTTCATCATGGTTTGGTCCTGGTTCTGTTCTGTAAGTATAAGGGATTTTTTGTCTTTTTATTTCAGGATTAATTGAAACAGTTAACCATATTTCGTGTAAATAAAGCATTCATACTGAGTTTTAATTCCTGGACTCTTAAGGTATATTCAGATTTACTATGTGATGTTTTTAGTTTGACTTTATCTTCAAGCTCAAACAGATACTTGGATCCTTGTTAAACTAGAAGGAGGCATTCTACAGAATTAAGTTGAAAGCCTTTCCAGGAATATTTTCACTCTAGATACGGTCATTTGATCATTAAACACTAAATAATCCCCCTAAGCATGTGGGCAGTGTAAGGGGTGAAGCTGTCCTGTGAGCTTAATGTTTGAATGAGAGCCCTCAAACGTGTATGTACTCATGCCGCTTAGATTTCAGGTCCCGGTTTCATGTGGTTGAGTCATTCCGCCTGTCTGGTGACTGAACCGTGTGATGCGCAGTGACCCTGATGCTGAGCTTCCTGTACAGCTGGAGGGTAGACGCATCTCTCCATAGTAGCTCGCTCTGGAGCAGTAAGGGCTGGGGACAGCAAGCATGTTTCCGGCTAGCCGTTGGGGTGCAAGTCCTCAGCGTCATTTGAGAGACCTCTGGGAATAGTGAGTTTTGCTGAGGTCACCATGGACTCATCCTGCTGTGGCTAAGCTCTCTCTTCCTGTCTGCTCATCATGCTTGCCCTTGGAGGATGGGGGAGTCGGGACTCCAGGAGTGTAGGAGGGAAAAGTGCTCTGGATTCTGGGAGTGGGAAAAGAGCAGCCCTAGGCAGGACTTTGAAATAGAAGTTTATCTTTAGCACGGCCCCCCTCCGCTCCCCCCCCCCCTTCTTGAGAAAGCCTCTGCATCGAATTGTCCTTTAGCTGTCAGAATTCCCCCACTGAGCCCCAGCCCAGCCCAGTTCAGGCGCCCAGTGTTCCTGGTAGTGTGATTAGTGCAGACTGCAGTGAGGTGCACAGTGCTTATGTTTCAGTTCCTTGTTCCTGGCCCATTGTGCATTTTAAACAACAGAAGCAACACGGTTAAAGTCCCTTTCTGTTGAACTGGAAATGTAACTGATTTCTATTCTTTGAAATCTCATCTCATAAATGAAGCTTACCCTCTCTGGTAGAGGAAGGGCATTGCTTGTAAGTCTCTGTTGAGTCCTCAGGGCAGCAGTCCATACCTTTTTTATTGGTGGACTGAGTGAGGGGCACTCTCAGTGTTGGCCCAGCAGGTCCACCCACCCAGTGATGGGCAGTCAGGTTAGGTCATCCAGCACGCAGGAGCTTTGGTTTATGTGCGAATTGGTTTATGTGTTGGTGGCAACACTTCTGCTAGAGGAAAGACAATTGGGAACCCACAAACCCATCTCATTTTTGGAGGATACCTTTTTGTAACTGCCCATCTAAACTACTTGGGTTTAATTATGTGAAAATAAGTATCTTTATTTATATGATGACTTAGCATTTATTTCCTATGTAATTGTTTATCATTAAACTATATCAAACTAATACTATTGTAAGTTTTATTTAATTTTAATACAAAAGGGGGGTAATTGTTAGGCCTCCTTCAGCCCCCCTTGTCTGCTCATTCTTTGGAGGGTCGTAAGGGTGAATAAGAGCTACCATTTGCTTACATAAGCCTAACTTTAACCAGCTGGGTCCATAGAGCTTGTCATCTGTTACTAGAGTGTTATTGGAGAAATCATCAGATGAAAGGTGAAAAAAGGTTAACGTCAAAGCAGTAGGAGAAAAGGAAAAAAAATTATCAAGTGTTATTTCTGAGGACATCACATAGTGACAACAATTCAGAAACTTAATTTTCATTAATGAGCCTTCCTATTACAGGCTTGAAATCAGTGATGTCTCACTAATCTTGACTGATGCCAGCAGTGAAGTCTGTGGTGTCGGGGAAATGACAGTACAAACAGGAGATGCCGACATGCACACACGTGTTGTGCTTCACAGCTGTGCGTCCTCCTGAGTGTTCAGTCATCTCTCTCTTGTTTTAGGATGGGCAGTATGTCAGCACTCTTCCAGCTCTCCATGTGGATCCGGGTATGGGCTAACACTTTATTTCCAGTAAACATTTTTGACACTGTCATTTTTTAAAAAACAATCAGGTTTTTAGTTTATTTTTTCTTTTGATTTTAGACTTGGCACAACTATTTTATTGAAGACCTTGGATTACCAGTTTGGGGATCATATACAGTTTTTGCTTTAGCAACTCTGCTTTCTGGGCTGTTTTTAGGACTTGTGAGTACTTCGTTTTCAGAGTACTAGGCAGAAAAATATTTTAAAATTTGACAATTTAATGTAGTTGCACTAGTTTTATTGTATACTATACGTTCAGACTTACTTATGTTTATTTTTGCAGTGTATGATCTTTGTGGCAGATTGCCTTTGTCCTTCAAAAAGGCGCAGACCACAGCCATACCCTTCCAGTAAGTATGTTTGTGAATGTTTATCCCCTTCATTTCTGGGACGGGATTTCATTGCCGTTCCAGCTTAGGTTTCTACATATGGAGTGCTGGTTTGTGTTGGTAGCGGGAGGGGGTATAGGTTTCATGTAAGAATGACAGCCCGGTGGATTTCGGAACATAGTTATTTTCTTGGCATTTATAATGTGGAGAATTTTAACATTGCTATATAACTTATAGATATTTAATACGATCTGATATCAATTTATTTGAAAATTCTATGGTATTCATGGATCCATTTGAATATACTTGAGTCAAAAAAGTTAACTATATTCCACTCTTGAGTAATTCATTACTATAGGGACACACTGGAGGATTTTTCTTTGTGTGCTAACCAAGTCTAAGTTTTTCTGGTAGGATATTGGAAGAGCAGTTCCCGTAGCTGATTGAGGATTGGCATTGACCCTGTGCTGTACTACAGGATGAGTTTATATAACTAGAAGTATTCGCTGCTCTCTGTCTTAATAGAATTACCTACCAGTCATGTATTTTTAATCTTAAAAATTACATGGTGATGGCAGCCCTCCTGTGAGCTGTTTGTGAGAACTCTCCGTCGTGCCGTCTGCTTCTCAGCGGCTCTCTAAAGTGGGCGGCATCAGTGACACTCTTCCTGTTTCGTGGTTGAGGAAACTGAGGCTCAGAGAGACCAGCTGTCTTTCCAGGATCACAGAAATGGTGGCAGACTCTGGGCCTGACACCCTCCTTAAACACTGCCTTTCGTGACTTGGGATTTATTGAGGTCAGAACTCCTGGAGTGGAATCTGTGCAGGTGTCCGAACCGTGAGCCTGTCTGTTGAACCACTGATGGGTTATCTCTTCATTTCTTAGATTGTTGCATCGATACTAAAAAGGGACGTGTTTAGGGGAGGGGATTGTTTTACCCACCAAGGGCTACTGACCTGTAGGAAAAAAATGTAAGCACAGATTACTTAAAAGGCAGTTTAAAAGTTGGTGAGTGTACATTTTATATTTATTTCATTTCAAAAACCTTAAACCTAACGACAGATTTGTCTTTTAAGTAATCTGTGACACAGCTGGTAGATACTGATCCACACTAGTGTGATGTGGTCCCTTCTGTAGCAGGCCACATCATTTGTTTTCCAGTTTGCGTGCTCAGCTTAGATTTTGAGTTGCTAGGAAAGACCCAACTCAGTCTGGCTTTAAGCAAAATAGGAATTTAGTGGTTCTTGTAGCAGGGAAGTCTGAGGGCACAGTTGGCTGGATCCTGGGGCTCAAATGTTGTTATGATGTTATATTTCTGAATTGTCCAATTCTCCATGTCTTTGCTCCATTTTTTGCTCTTTCCAGTCCTTAGCATAAAATGATTCTAGAAAGCCACAGCTCAGAATCCCAGAGCAAGAAGGAACTGCAGTTTCTCCCTGCACCCACCCACCTTTCGGAAAAATTCTGTGCACTCCACTGTGTAAAGGGCTCACTTCTTGGAAGAATTACTGTAAACCAGGGTTCTCAGCCTCGCTGCTGTTGACCTTTTAGGCTGGATGATTCTTAATTGTGGCAGACTGTCTTTCATACATTGTTGGATGTTCAGCAGCATCCCACTGGGTGCCAGTAGCACCCCTCAGTTGTGACAGCCTGTACAGACGTTGCCAGTGTTCCCTGGGGGCAGAATCGCACTGGTGGAGAACCACTGCTGTAACTACAGTGCTCATCACAAACAGATGGGATGCAGCACAGGGAAGGGCGGTGGACCCAAGAAACGGACACAGGCAGACCAGACACAGACTGTCCACTGCGTGGTGACTTCTTCCACCTTACCCCACTCTCCCCCACTTTCGGGACTGCCTAGGATTAGGGGCAGTCCAGAATCACTGAGCAGAGTAAAGCTCATTGGCCCCATTCTGTGCGCTGTGTCTCAGTACCGTGGTGTGTTCTAAGTTTGAGGGAACTAGCAGCATGCCTTATAAAACATAGAAAGGGTATATGTGTGTGTACATGTTTAAAAATTCACTGGGCTGTACACTTAAGATTTGTATATTTTCTCATTTGTTTACCTTAATAAAATACATGTGGGGAAGAGGAAGCACATTTATCAAACCACGTGAAAAACAGCATGGGTAGGAATCTAACCTTCAGCTGTAAATTCTGATTCCTGTTCTCCTGGGAGCTGAAAACAATGGTGGAGTTAAAGTTTGATTCAGTATACTTACTAACTGGAAGATTTCATAGGAAGTTAATACAAGATAGTTACATTTGGTGCAGTATATTTTCTTACAGCATCCGTATTCACAGCGTTAATTCTGATTCATTAATTTCAATTCAGTTCATGAACAGGTAGGTAATTAGAATGAGTTTGGTAAGTAAAACGGGTCTTCCAAACCAGTTTTTATTTTTATGGTATCACTTATTCTTGAAGAAAACTTTTTTCTTTCGAAAATCCAACATATGAGTGATCAGTAAATGCCAAGGCATTTATGGGCCTATGAATTGTGTATTGATTTTACTCTGGTTTTAATACATCAACAAAACACATTTCTGGTCTTTATCTTTAAGAAAAATTACGGCCAGAATCTTCTCAACCTTTGAAAAAAGTGGAGGAGGAACAAGAGGCTGATGAAGATGATGTTTCAGAAGAGGAAGCTGAAAGCAAAGAAGGAACGAACACAGACTTTCTGCAGAATGCCATCAGACAACGTTCTGTGGGTCCTTCCCTGGCCACAGATAAATCCTAGTTAATTTTTATAAATATCTTGATAGGATTTTGACAGAAACAGAAGGTTGATTGTTTCTTTTCGTTTGAAGTAAACTGTGACTTGCTTGTACATCGCTGGGTTCAGTCTAGATTGTCGTTAGGTCGAACAGTCTACCTTCAGAAAATAACAGTAGTACTACGTAAAAAAGTTTGAAATTGGGTTTAAGAACAGCATGGTGGTTTAAACAGTTTAATTTTTGAAAAATCTGGTGCCAAGCAATAAGATGTGTATGTTTGTTTAATAATAACCTGTTTCAAGTCTGAGTTGAAAAATTAATTTCCCATATTGCATTATTGAGTTATTTAAGGAGATTACTTTGGAGAAAAAATTTCTCATTTGATATAATTTTTTTCAGTTTCACTGTGTGAAAAAAAGAACATCTTTCCCATAAATGGGAACTTTGCCCATTGTCTCAAGAAATGTGTATTTCAGTGACAGCTCTGTGGTCCCTTTAGAGATAGAGTCCAAAATTTCCTCATATTTTTACATTATGCGACTAATAAAGTGATGTTGGTTTGTTGCAGTCTTCTGCACAGGATGACACGGGATGTGTGCTGACCGAGAGAGTTTCGTGCGTGGGGGGTCCTGGTTCCTGTCCAGGCATTGCCACCTCTGTTCTCCTGTGCCGGTGTGTCATTTGTACTTTTGTTACCATGGGTTACATTTTTCATTTTCTAAATTGGTGAATTTCCTGGAAATGTTTTTTGTATTTTAATAAATAGTACTTTTTTCTTGTTTCAAACTGAAGTGTTCTGAGGGATCTTTAAAATTGAAGAGTTATCTACTGATAATTTAAAATTTTGGCCACTCATTTCAGATTTTACGTTGTCCTTGTTGAACATCTACTTGAACTTTTTTTTTGGATGTGAAAGTGAACCGTCTGTTTTTTATTTGCTGTTGTGGAAAAGCCTTGGTATTTTACATTTTGAAGATTCACAGAAGCTTAATTTGATATAAAATACAGTTACAGTCTACTCAGGAGAAAGCGTTTCACAGTGTATGTTTTCAGTGTGTATTTGTCCTCATGTATGCAGAGCTCCTAATTGATGGTACAGTCAGTGTGCTTGATGTTTAAACATCACAGCATTCTCATGTTTCTGGAAGGACAAACTCTGTGTCCTGCTGTCCTTTCTGTTTGTGGGTTCACAGGTGGAAAGCAGCAGGTTAGGACATTGAGTGTACTTCTACTCCTTGAAGAGTTAGAACAGAGTTTTCACCTTATGGGGGGCGGGGGTGTGGGGTGGTAATAGGGAACTGTATTAGCTGCAAGAGGGGGAAACCCATAACACTTGAGACCGAATACCTGTCCCTTATGTGATAGACGATGTCTGTAATGTCCCTGTGCGTCTAGATCCTGCTACTGTGAGTCCATTAGACTGACAGTGTCACATGTACAACAGTTTTCTTTACAGGCCTGTCCTTCAGAATGTTGACTGTGCTATCATTGAAGAGTTTGGATGTGTAATAAATTTGTGATGCTTTAGAAAAATATTTTAAGCACAAAATAAACTTTTGTAAGCACTTCACTAAACCTGAAGACAGTGTGACTTCTATTTGCATATTTAGAAATGCTTACTTTGTATTTAAGAATGTTCAGATCAATAGTTGTCGCTGTAAATGTCATTGGTGTGTGTCATCAAGGCTAGAGTCTCACAGCTTTTTCTGTTCCTTGAGGTGATAGAGGAAAATAGTGCTCGTTAATCAAGCATTCTATTTGCTAGTCTTCTAGTATACATGACATGATGAATTTCAAGTTTTTAAGTAATTAGAAAATACTATTTATACAGAAAATTAAAAGTAGGCTGAACAGGTGGAGACCTGATATTTCAGAAAACAGATTGCATTTCTTCAGGATTGTCGCTGTAGACAGCTGAATAATCAATTTCTGTCACATCAGAGGCTCACAGACACTGTATGGGATTATTTTATCTTTAAAGACCCCTTGTGTTTCCATTATTGGTGTCAGGGGGCTCATCATGGCAGCTTTGCTACAAATGGTTTAAGAGGGAATAAAGTGCAGTGTCAGCATCTTGGAGAACTCTGCCCCATGATCGTTCAGCTCCACTGTGAACGTGTTATAAAATGTGATCACTCCAGTAGAAATAATCAGCAAGACTGGTAAGTTACAGTGAAGATTCCTGCGTATATAATGATAGCTGCCATTCCCTGAGTACCTGCTCGCATTGTGCTAAGTTGTTTTCCTGTCATAATTCATTGAGTCCTAACTAGAGCATATGATAGTAAGCATTACTCATCTTCCAGGTGAACGGGCTCAGTGAGCTATGGCGGAAATAAGTTTGACAGTTTGAATCCAGTTCTAATTTCAAATCTTGTGCTTTTTTTCAGTATAAGTACTGAAAATTCAGTCTGTATGTTAAATTAGAATATAAATTTTAAATTCTTAAAATCTCACTCATCAGAATATTGCAACAAAGACTGTTCGGAAATGTCAGAATTCAGTAGTTACAGTCTGTGATATTGGGTACTCTGAAGAATCAAGGTTATTCAATAAACGATGCTTTGAAAGCAGATCTCCCAGGGCAGTTGTGTCCTTATTCAGCCCAGGGCATAAAAGGCATAGTTCTGGACTTGATTATGTTGTGGTGAGATTAACATTTTCAAATGAAGATTTAAACTCATTTTAGGGTTACCAAGGATGTTCTGATTTAACGTGATAGTTTAAGGTAGAATTCTTTCACTAAGTTAATTTTTTTCCAGCTTTATTGAGATATGATTGACAAATTACTTTTGATGTGGATCTTTGATTAATAGATAATTGATTTGGGATGGAATTTAAATGAGTGGTCCTACTGAGTAATTGTATAATTCTACAAGTAAAATTTTGAATTGAATATCCTACTTGCAGATTTAGATATATTAGCATCGCACATCTAGCAACTTTTGCATTTGTTTTAAAACCATTTCAACTAGAACAATAGATTTAAATTGGAAGTTTGATAATATATAGGTAGTAAGGTCAAATGATATACTTGAACGTATCTAAAATATTTCCTCTCTTGATGGTTTATTTTGACTCATTAATGAGAAATGGTGATCACAGCAGTGTTGTGGCCGTTAATGGAATCTGCTGTCCCTCCCCCACGCCTTGGGCCGTGTGACGTGACTTGTAAGCCTGTTTTTCATTGTGGTACCACAACTCAGCCTGGTTGTATCCTGAGAATGAAAATAGAAGTCAATTGACCAAATAGATGTTTGATTTATCTGAAACTTCTTTTATTTATTTATTTATTTTTTTGTGAGGAAGATCAGCCCTGAGCTAACATCCATGCTAATCCTCCTGTTTTTTTTGCTGAGGAAGACCGGCTCTGAGCTAACATCTATCACCAATCCTCCTCCTTTTTTTCTTTTTTCCCAAAGCCCCTGTAGATAGCTGCATGTTATAGCTGCACATCCTTCTAGGTTGCTGTATGTGTGACGCGGCCTCAGCATGGCCAGAGAAGTGGTGCGTCGGTGCGCGCCCGGGATCCGAACCCTGGCTGCCAGTAGCGGAGTGCGCACACTTAACCGCTAAGCCACGGGGCCGGCCCTGAAACTTCTTTTAAATCTACATATAATTAAGAGAGTCATAGTCTTAAATTCAGTGAAGATATACTTCACTTTGAAGGATAACTTAAGCGTATTTTAAAAACTTTCCTGGTGTCAGTGTTTTTAATAAAGCATGTCATAGAAGTGAGGTTACTAGTAGACTGGAATATATCCACTCAAGTACTTAGGAAGATTTAACATATTGCTACCTGGGCATTCCTGAGAAACTGTCTGAACTTTAGATGTCTCTCTGGTGCCACCGAATCAAGTATATACTTGGTTGGAAATTTTAAAGGCTCTTAACTATATCTCTCTCGCCCCAACCCAACTAACATTCCTGAAGCGACTTGAACAAATCAGCTGCTGTTCCGTGAACACCTCGTGGTCCGTGTGTTGGTTCAAGACCCATCTCAAATCCCTAAGTTCCTTATGGCCCACAATCGTTTTTTTCATAAATAAATGATGGTGTGACATCCATCCTCTGGCAGTTAAATCATATTCTGTCTGGTAATATTTCTTTTGCATTTATTATACCAATCAGCTGAGTGACACTGAGCAATTCAATACATCTCTAGAACTCAGTTTATGAAGAAAGTCATTTCTGAGTTAAAGATAACAAGATAATTACTGCATTCATATGTTGTCTCTAAAACCTGGTTGTCAACTCCTTGAGTCCTGAAACTCATTGTTAGTTTGAGACAAAGCGTAGTGTTATGGGGAGACTTCTGGACAGAGGCCGAGAGACCTGGCTTCAAGTCTTGTCTCTGCCCTGCCTAGGAATATGACTGCCACCTCTGAGCATTGATTTTCGTATTTATGAAATGAAACGAGTTTCACAACTTGGCACTAATTTGTGTCTCCTGCTCCCCCATCTCAGTCTGCTGAGATGGGGGAGCAGGAGAGAAAAAGGCTCTCCTGCCTTTTCTCTGCCCCAACATTTGCACCCTTCGCAGCAGGACCCAGATACTAAGTCTCCGTCTTGTGCTCTGCAGCCATGCGCTTCAGGGGAAACTGACGCCATCCTTGCTCACGAGGGGTGAGTTGATTATTAAGACACATGGTAATCCAAACCAGTGATTGACATGATCGGTGAACATGTCCAATTTGAGCCAGTGAGGAGTCGGGCTTCTGGTAAGGTCTCTTTCTTTTGGAGTTTGCCATTTTCTGGATGTGATGCTGAAATTCTGTAGCCATCTCACAGCCTGAGGATGAAGCGAATAAACAGGAGGGTGGAGCCAAGAGAATCTCAGAGAAGTAAAGCTAGCGCCCTGATGGAGCGGAGTGCATCCTACCTCTGGACATCTTGTTCTTTGAGATAATTTTTGTTATCTAACCATCTTGAGTATGGCTTTTCAGTCACTTGAAACTAAAGTATCAGTGTGGCTGTCACCTCTCTGGACTTGTGAACAGTGATGTCTTGATTTGGTTCAGCTCAGTTCCATGTCTGTTTCATCATCTGAGCACTCACTTCAAGCTCTGCTTTACTTTTCTCGTGGTGACAGTCCAAGGTCAGGAAGAAAAGAGTTAATCTTGATACATGTGGTTGACGCTAATTCATGGGCCGAGCCAGGCATGTGCTGCAAACCTACCTGGTAGTGAAATTCTGGAAGCTAAAAAGAGTGTGTTGAGTTCAAGTGTAGATGTTCAGTGTGAAATCAGGCTTTGAGCCTAAAAGAGCCTGGTTTGGCTTTTTAAATCCTTTATTTGGATTTTGTGTTGAGTGAGCAAATTCCTGAGTATTAATTTTGACAGTAACTTGAGTCTTCTACTGAGAATGGGAGCAATACAAATTTGAAGGTGCTAAGAAGGAATTTGCCATTTGTCCCCCTTTGGGGAGGAAGTAAAGGATGAGGTGTGTTTGTGTCTTCTGGAATGTTTCTTTTTCTCTTTTTAGCTTATTTGTTTATTGTCAAGATTAATTGATTAATGAGATTTA